GAGCAACCTATAAGCCATACGTAGTGGGCTATCCTGTACCATGTGGGTGGAAACTTACAGAATGCAGGGGTTAATACTAAAACAAGGAACAAAGAAACATAGAGAAAAGTATCTATTTTCGCTACATCTGTACCATGATGTAGAAGTGTTCAGACACAGTGGAAAATCAAAGTCACTACATTCATCTGGATCCAGCATCCATTTGCATAATCCTATTACAATTATGTTTTAGTAACAGGTTTAGCAGCTATTTAGATTAAATTTTTCACTCAAAAATGTTACTGTATTGGGATTTTTTAGATAGAGTGCTAATTCTTCACTTTTCTAGTCTGAGTAATCCTTCCTTATACTATTTGGGGATTATGGTATACCATTGATTGTCTTCCTAAACATTTTGAAAAGGGTATGTTCTTTTTCTGAAAGATCCCTATCTCTCTCTCTCTCTCTCTCTCTCTCTGCCCCCATCACCTATGATGGGGTGGCCTTTTGAGCCAACTGTATCAGCTTTGTCTTTGTAGATTGCCATAGTTTATACATTTTTTTTGATGAAGCATAAACAAAGATAGCAAAAGTAGAGGCAGTATGCATCTCAGGTCAAATCTGGTATGTCATTAAGATTTTTAAGTACTGTTTTGCTGCTACTGCTACAGCCACAGCTTCTATAAACATATATAAATAAAGAAGAATACTTCGTGGGCAAACAGCTCTAATTCAGTAGCGCTCTAATAATACAGATGGGTTTAGGTTGGGATGGCCAAAATGGCAGATCTGGCCACCAGCTGGACTCCATTTCTCAGCAGCCTCTGCCCATGTTGCTGTAGCTGGTTTCCATGGAGACCCCAGGAGTGGTGGAGTCATGACAGTGCAGGGCCAGGGTTTCCATGGAGACAGGACCCGGCAGCACTGGCAAGATGCACAGCTGGGCAGGAAGCTGGGATCTTGCAGGGGTGACACCATGGTCCAGAGCCAAGGCAGAGCTGTTATCCACTGCCCGCATGTCCCGAATAGGCATCTACATGTGCAGGGAAACAGGAGCAGGTTTGCTGCTCATGGCAGCAGTCTGCTTCTACTGCTACCAGCCCTGCGCTGGCCCCTGCAGCAACCAGGGGGAGCTGTAGGCTCCCCTTGGGTGCTAGCCCAGGGGCTGGTAGGGAGCTCAGAGCCAGGAGACTGCTCCCAGCCCCTGCTTTGCTATCACAGAGTGGGGACTGGGAGTCTCCCAGCCCCTGCTCTGTGATTGTGGAGTGGGGGCTGGGAGACTCTTATCTTGCAATCACAGAACAGGGGCACAATCACAGAGCAGGGCCTGGGAGGTCCCTGCTGCCAGGGCTGGGGGACATTCTCTGCCTGGGCTCTGGTGGCAGGAGCCCACTCCAGCAGCAGGCAGCTCCTGGGGGCTGGGAGCAGTCTCCCACGCCCTGCTGCCTAGCTGACCTGGAGCACATTTGCTCCTGGGCAGCTGTCTACACATGCTGTACTGCACAGTAATTACTTCTGAGTAAATTTGCTACTTTTATTTACAGGTAGTGAATTTACCACGATTAGAGGAAATTACCGTGAAATAAGTGTTTGCACATGTAGACAGGTGACACTTTCTGTGCATGTTTACACATGCTTTTATGCACTCCTAATCTTAATGCTCATCAACCTAATGTGCGTTAAGGTGAGCTAGGCATGCGTCTACACATGCATGTGCTAAAGTGTGTTAATGTGGGTGTGCAAACAGACTTGAGACTAAATTAGTCCCAAGTCAGTGGACACATACCACGCTAATGTGCATTAATGCATCTACATATTCACAAATATGATTTAGCTATCTGCACATAAATTTGATACCTGCTTTATGGATAGCCTTAAATTGCCATTTTTAAGGCACATTAAAGGCACACGTGTAAACGCACGCCCTTAATGTACCTTAAATAGGGCTAATGCACATTAAATGTGCATGTGTAGACATATCTACTGTGCAGTAATTTGCTCTCATCTTAAGTGAAGTATCTCATGTTGATGCACCCCAAGATGACTTTTCTCCATATACACCAAGTAGAAGGTTACAATTAATTTTTTTAACACGGAACTTGCCATAAATATCCATGCCTTTGTCCCATCTGGTTTGGATAATGAGTGCTTTATACTCTGCATGGCCAAGTATAAAACCTCTCAACTAGTACCAAATGCAGCAAACTAATTTAGTGTGTTTTATATATAGTACTGTTACTTCTTAATCTGCTTTACCTTTTGGTTTATTCTCAGGTGAAATTCAAGACTGTAATTCTGATGTAAACGTGTAGCTTTGTGGCTGCCTAAAAATCAGTTTCTGTCCTTGTGGGATGGTATGACAGTTACGATCATCCAGTCTTCAAAGTTAAACAATTTTTTTTTGGCAATATAGCATTTTCAAAGTTCCTTGATACTAGACCTTGAAGTCTGACAGTCCTTAAGTGTGCTGATTCATTTGGCAAGCTGCAAACATTATCTATTATTCCAGGCTTTCCTAAAGATTAAAAAGAGACCTATTAGTATATTATTGATAGTCTGTGTAGACTCACATGTTTAAAATACTCATTTTAAATGTGTGCATTATCTAAAATTAAAATATAAAATATATTCACTGAGAGCTGAAGACACAAATTTGTATATATGTGTACTAATTTCTAGTGTAATAAAAGATGTATGTTAGTCCAAAAAACTAACTTTGATTGTATTTTGGTATTCTTTTCCTGAGGCTTCAGGACATAGAAATGACGTAGTTTGAGATACCACTATAAACACACTGACTCTTCTGTTCAGCTGTTTACTCAAGCCCAAATTACCAAAATTTCAACTAATGCTAGGATTTAGGTGTTCACTCAGAGTTTCCAAGAACCTGATTTTTCAGAGATGCATGGCACATAAAGCTCCAGTTGCAGTAATTAAGAACTAAGTGCTCACCATCCCTGAAAATCAGACCCTACTTATCCCAAGTAGGACATTCAGAGTGGACAATGCAAAACCTTACCCCTAATGATTATCAACAGATAATAAAGAAAAGTTAACCCCAGAGGATTTTTAATCTGTTGTGTAAAATTACAGAAGAATTTAAATCTTTGTAATATAAATGCTGTAGCTGTTGATTAGTTGTTTAATTTTCTCTAATATGTATTTCTGTGATCTTGCAGGTTTTAGCTGATGCTGTTGCACGCTTGGTTGTAGATAAATTCAGTGATTTGACTGATAATTTCACATCTCCCCATGCACGTAGAAAAGTTCTTGCTGGAGTTGTCATGACGACAGGTAAAAAGAAAATTACTACTACTACTAAGTGTTCAGGTACCATAGTGATGGACACATTATAAAGATCTAGGTAGTTAAAAGATATTTATCTTTACACTTCATTTTTCTTTCTTCAAGCAACAGCACTGAATTATCTTTAATGCATAATTGGAAGAGTATAATAAATATAAGAATAGGTGAAGTCACATCCTTGTAATTGGCAGTTACCAGAAAGTTAATGCCTGTAAATACCTCTCTATTTTCACAGAGCTCCTGTATCCAACAAAATCAACTGAATTTTCTAGATGAGCTATATTCTATAATATACATTACCTTTTTTTAAAATGAGATATGTGTCACACTGAAAAAAAAGTTAAGGGTAATAAACTCCCCAAATACACTGTATTACATTACATACTTAGGGCATAAATTATGTATGCATTCGAAATATTCTCATTTTTACATTTTGCTTAATTATTCTTACTGGATTTAGTTATTAGTGTAATTGAACCTGGTATAGTAATTACTGCAATACAATTATTTATTCACAAACATCAAATACGCAGATTTTAATGGCAAGTATGAATCGCCTGATTTGGCAATTGACAGTACTGCAGATGCAGTGCAAAGTACAGTCAGCATCTTAGCTTTTATTTCTTGCATGTCTTATCAATATAAGAACTGATAATTTTTCGTCTGTAAAGCTTTATATCTCTTACCACTGTTGAATTTATTGCCAGGCTTCTGATTTACTAATAGTGTCAAGCTGGATAAAAAAAAAAAAAAAAAAAGGGGAACCAAAATTTTTTAAAATTCCCCTTTATTTTTTTTTTTTT